AGAGTCATCCTGTTCGATTATAGAAAAGCATTCGACCTTATCGATCATGCTTTACTGGCTGATAAAATTTCCAATTTAGCTATTCCACGTGCGGTTGCTCGTTGGACAATCGATTTTTTGATGAATCGAAAGCAGAGAGTGAAATTATCCAATGACTGCTATTCGGAGTGGGGTGATGTACTTTCCGGTATCCCTCAAGGTACAAAATTAGGGCCCTGGCTATTTTGTTTAATGATAAACGATCTTGATATTTGTGATATATCGAGGTGGAAGTTTGTTGATGATACAATAGTTGCTGAAGTAGTTAGTAAGGACACAGAGAGCCGTGTTCAAGTCGCAGTTGATGTTGTGGAAGATTGGTCGAAGGCAAATGGGCTATCTCTTAACGCTGAGAAATGTAAAGAACTGAGAATCGATTTAAAAAAAATTAAACAACCTTTTGATCCTGTATTGGTGGGTGGAGAAGCATTGCCTATAGTTGAGAGTGCAAAATTATTGGGTCTTGTTATGACAGGCACACTTCAGTGGAAAGATAACATCAGAGAGAGTATAAAGAAAGCTAATAAACGCCTCTATTTTATAGTATTATTGAAACGGGCAGGCGTAAATGTCAATGATGTTTTGAACTTTTATTGCACAGTGATCAGGCCTGTGCTCGAGTATTGTGCGCAAGCCTTCCATCATTCCATCCCGAAGTATTTGGCAGACGAACTTGAGACTGTCCAGAAACGTGTGCTAAAAATTTTATCTCCTGAAATGACATATTGTGAGGCCCTTGAGTATTATAGACTGCCTACTCTATTTCAAAGAAGAGAGGACATGTGTGACAAACTCTTTACGAGTATCATCAAGGATCCAATGCATAAACTTCATCATCTGCTGCCCCCCAAAGAACGAGACTGATTATTCTTTCAGGACGAATCGGTATTTTAATATGTACGTTACACGCACGAACCGCTTTTATAACTCTTTCATCCCTGCTATGTGTAGGAAGTTTGTAGGATAGATTTTATGCTTATTTTAATCGAATTTTAATCGAGGGTGGGTTTTATAATATTGTATTAATAATATATTTATATGTAGTGCATGTGATAATATGTAATCCACGCAATTCAGCTTCTGGCTGCAATGTGGTTTCAATTTAATAATAATAATAATAATAATAATAATATTTATAAGGTGTGAAAGAAGGGCTTTATCGTCACTTCCAGGTGGATGGTACACGATTCCCAATACAATTGAGTTTAAACCACGAGGCAAGCGGTGAGGTTTTAAGAGTAACCAAAGCGACTCATATTCGTGACTTTCAATCTCTTTAAGATGAATGAAAGGAAGCATGTCCTTTACAAAGACACAGACACCTCCTCGTCTGCCGTCAGAACGATCATGCCTCAGTAAGGAATAACCGCATAAATCTATTGCTGAATTGGGAACATTTGAAGAAAGCCACGTTTCGGTAACAACGACAATGTCTGATGTATAGAATTTTACTGTAGCAGACAGTTCGTCAATCTTGCTGATCAGCGATCTTGAATTAGAAACAAATAAATTCGGTAGAGAAGAGAGTAAGGGCGTTTTTTTGGTTTGGTGGCCACTAATGTAAATTAAATTATTTCTACGGTTGAAACTTTTCCCTGACGGGTAATAACTTGAACGGGTCACTCTCGTATGACGATGGGAAACTCGGACGGGGATAGTGTAGGACGGCAATGTTACATTCTGGTTATCCGGCTGAGCAGATCTAAATGTCTGTACCAATCCGGAGCACGGTGGTACGAACGCCGTATCCGAAAATTTTGATGTGCTACGCCTCTTGGGGGAGTAACAGGTGTACGCATCAGAAGGGAATGAATACCCTTTTGCGATTGTGGGGGTTTCGAGAGTCCATTCTGTAATTTCTTAAAATGAGTTTTTCCTTGTTTGTTCGCTTTGCCTTTATTTCATCATGTTGGTTTAGCTGTTTAGGAAACTGCTCAATCAAAGGGAGTCGACTTATCCAATCAGAATAACTTAGTTTATGGTGTTTATCGTAGTGTTTACTTGGCTTGCCGACGTAATGCGTGATTCCTTCTGGATTAAGTAATTTCGATTTAGGGTATGTTGTTGTATGCTTGGTTGATTTAGGCCCTTTATGTGATAGGCTATCATTTTCGCTCGGTTGAGAACATTCTGTTGGACTTCGCAATAAGGCAGCACATTGATTGTCAATAACGGGTATGTGACACTCGGCATTGTTACAACTAATTTCTCAATTATTCTCTGCCATAAAAGAAACATTGGTACCGCTAATATCTGGTGCGGGCACTAAATTTGGTTCTGTCTGAAGAGAAGCGTAGGTGTCTTTAAACTCGGCAACTTGAAGATCGTTAAATGAGCGGTTATTGTTATCTTGATGTTCGGTTTGGCTTTGTTTCGAAATTGCCAACTTTGTACGATTAAAGGAGACAGACTTCTCATCAATGTGGTTAGGTTTAATATTGTTCGTTGTCTCCAAATTTATGCACATATTTGAGGCTCGTAGTTGGTCATTAATCTTTTCAACAGTACTAATTTTACCCTGAAGGGAAGTTATTATTTCATTAAGTTCCTCAACCTCAATATTTCGTTCTCTTACTAGCAAAGCAAGATCAGATTGAAGGCGATTACTTTTTTCTTTTTCACAAGAGAGATCATGTTTAAGTTGGTTTATATTTGAGTGCCCGTCTACAAATTTGCTAATAATAACGGAGTCTAACTTATTCTCAAAATTCGTTTGCATGATAACTAAATCCAATTTTACCCCTTCCAGTTCGGCGGCCAAAACTCTACATGTACAACCACAATCATTACTCAGTGCGATCTGTTCCGTCTGAGATAAATGATTAGTCAGTACAGGATCAGACAAGCGGTGATAAATACTATCCTGTTTACCTTGCTTACTTTTAACCAGGCCAGCCGTATCAGTGACAGTATTTACATTCTTATACACGATATTAGGGCCATCGTGCGCGTTAGATATGGCTGACTGAGAGTGTTTAGTTTCATCACACTCAAGCGATTGTGATTTTGATTTAAGATGGCTCCCTTGCGTGCAAACGAATATACACCTATCTCGTACTAAGTCACCGTCCTTGCCTTGAAAAATCAGAGTATTTTGTTTACCTTTGTACCATATGAGCACCAAGTCAGCATTAGTGCTAGTAAATTTTTTTGTATGGCCTCCAGGTGACGACCATTTCCCTTCGAGGCCCCAAACTTGACATACAATTCGTTTTACATTCTCCAGATCATCAAGCCATTTTAGGCGTACTCCATCGTAAGACATATTAGACAATTCAGTGCAGCTATCGCAAGTGAGAAAGGAACTCAATCTGTGATTCTTATTCGTATTTCCTGCATTTTGATAGAGCATAACAGACACACGTCTTTCCGCCATTATAAGATAGTGACATTAACCTTAGTGACAATCGCATAATAGCTAAATTTGTGGAAGTAGCCCTGCGGGTCACATTATACATATATTGTCGGGCAAATAAGCCGTGGAATGACCCATAATTTGTTCAGTAATTTTTATTGGCTACTATCGTTTGGAGTGCTCAGAAAATACTGAAAATGACCTGTTTCACTACAGAGAACTGTTTTCTTAATTTTAGATAATTAGAATATTGTTGTAACATATATGCACGCGATTCTTACAATACAATAAAATACGATTTTTATTGTTTAATTGTTTAAAAACTATAATAGTGTTACGTTTCCATTATAATGTTGTTTAGTTTTGAATTATCCACGGATTATAACAGATTTTGAACAACCTAAGCCAATGTTTTGGCCGCGAGGCAGCATATATTTCCTTGCGTTAGTAACTTCTAGCGTAATTAAATATGTGCAAACAAATCATATCCATATATGTTCATGGCATGAGCAAAACGGTTTTGACTACCGCTTAATTAACTTAATATTAACCCTAGCCCAAATTCTGCATGATCTTTGTGACTTAAGGTGGCCCCTTACAGTTTACTAGAAAATCGGAGATCTCCGATTTAGACCTAATTTTTCGACAATTCCTATTTGTTAAAAGACAAAGAAAGTCCGACTCGAAATATAATAACTACAGAGTTGGACTTTTTCCAAAAAAATGTATCGCAACTGATGCTGTTATGGCAACAATGACGATCCAATATGCCGGTTATTTTGGGTTTAAAGTTATTGAACTTGAAAATAAGGTCGGTAATCCCCATTTTTTATAAGTATTTTGGATCATTGTTATAATTTTAAAAAAGTTTGTCGAAAAAAATTCATGCGAAAAAGAAGTATTACAAATTATTGAAAAATTGAAAAACTTTGGCACGAGAGAATTTTTTTTAATTATAAAAATGATTCAAAATACTAGAAGAAATTATGCTATGAAATAAAAAAGGGGGTCGCCGACTTTATTTTCGAGTTAAATTACTTTAAATTAAACCCAAAATATCCGCCATATTGAAACATTATTGTTGCGATGGCAACGGTTGATAGAATTAAGTTTTTTAAAACGGAAAACTCCTGACCATAGCTATTGTTTTATTCCAAATAGTCAGATTGTCCAAATCAGAAAGCTTCCATTTGTTAAAAAGTGTAGGAAGACATCTTAATGCGGATTTCCACTTGCAAGAAAAAATTCGCTGACGCAATTTTTCGCTCAATTTCTTTTGATTTCCAGTAGAACTGATATATTCGGTTACAATTCAAAAGAAATCAAGCAAAATAGTTATCTGTGCCTAGAAACCCACCAACTTCAGAATCCTAACAAAAGTGGAAAAGTGGCACATTCCTAGCTGAAATTCGTATATCGCATAAAAGATTAGACTGGTAAATCGTTCCGTATTACGTGGAGGAAAGGTAAAAAACTACTTAATTTTGAAGGCATAGACTCAAATAAAATCAAACGAACCTTTTGTATTGAACTCTGCGACATCCACGAGTTCAAACAAGACATTCAGCGTGTAAATCCGGTAGCTACGTGTATTGATATTTGCTCGATGACGTGTAAATGCGGTGAGTTGTCTGCTGATCTTGAGGGCGTCAAGTTAGAGCAAGTAATATCTCAAAATGATATTAAGGTCAATAACCATAATGTGGGAATGCTTAATGATGTAGTAAGCAACTTAAAGAAAGAGGTCTATGCTATGCGGGAAAAGTTAGATAAACATGTAGATAGCCAGGTTCTATATTCATCAAAAGTTGTTGATTGCTCAACGATCAGACGACTGAAATACCTGATTATAATGACCATAATAACAAAGGCCAAATGCTGAGTGTGGTTTGAATATATTAAAAATTGCAAAACAATTTCTCACATTCAAAGTTTAGTCTGTGATAATAAATCTATTAAGCCTAAGGAATTTACACACCAAACGAACAGGGTAACATTAGATGCTAGCATAAACTCGTCACCTCGGAATGCGGACGACAATAGAATTTTCAATTTGAAAGGATTCTCTCAGCCATGTAATTTTGATGGAATTTCAAGTAATCCATCCCAAAGTGACATGTCCGGAAATCATCAGAGTACACAAAATAACAAACCAATTCCAACTCGAGTTACATGCCGATCCGAAAATCGATCGAAGAAATGGCATGAGAAAACATATCGGGACTGTGCTTTTAATAAGTACTGGACAGTCAATAATATATGCTCACCGCAACAGGAGCAAAGGAGTGTATCCAGCAATGGTAAATTGGCTAAACGAAATAAAAAAGCGGATTTTTGTACCCATCACAAGCGAAATCGAATCAGACACAAATTGATTTGGTTCAACTATTATTATTGAATAGTTTCCCTGTACCCCCTCAACTGTATTTTAATCAACCCTGCTGAACTCCCCATTAATTGTAACAGTAGTCCAAATGACCAACGCGAGAAGTATGCTGTGACGAGTAGTAACTATCGAAAATCGAAAATTACACTTGCGCATCTTAACGTACGTTCTTTAAAGAATAGGGAACATTTTTTACAGATAAAGGATATGATACATGAGGAAAATTATGATATATTTGCGGTTTCGGAATCATGGCTCAATTCAACAGTGCGGAATGCAGAGATTGAAATTACTGGATATCGTCTGTCTCGACTAGACAGATTGGGAAAATCTGGAGGACGGGTTTGTGTTTTTGTTAAAAGTACATTGAAATACACGGTTTTAAAAGATTTAACCGAAATCTCCGATTCCGGTTTCCACCAATTGTGGATACAAATCCAGCACAAGAAACTTAGATCGATATTGTTATGTGTTTGTTACAGACCTCCTGATTG